TTGCATGCCTGCACAGCTGCTGGAGAGTATAAAGGTGTCTTGTCATAAATTTAACGCTCAAGTAAGGGATTTTACAACAGAAACTGTGAGGGTTTCAGTCTTGTCTGGTGTGAGCTACCGAGAACATTCAGCACTTTGAGGCATTAGATTTCTTGGGCCAATGCCAGTACATACTGAGTAATCAAAAAGCTCTTGTAGTAAGGAAGTACTAAGGATTTCTTGCCTTGGGAGGAAAAAGATGTCAATTGCTTCAGCTTTTCTGGTTTGTACTTCAGAAGAAAGGAGCTCCAACAAGAACAGTCATATGGAACCTCACCAATCTTTCTGTGAAATTTAATAGTAACTCTTATAAGCCACAGCTATTCCAGAGTTGGCATCTGTCAACTACTCTGTCATGTCTTATTTGAAAGTCTTCTCTTTTCTCACCTAGGTGATTGAGGCCTCAGACATGGTTTTAGAGGTTTTAGATGCAAGAGATCCAATGGGCTGCCGGTGTCCTCAACTAGAGGAAGCTGTAACTTGCTCCGGAGGAGGCAAAAAGCTAGTGTTGGTTCTGAACAAAATTGGTAAGAGGCACAAGTTTTCTTGAAGTGTTGCTTGGTCACTGTGGTCCTGTGGAACATGAGCTATGAAGAAGATTAAAAGGAATCTGAGATTCCATTGAAGACATAAGATCCAACTCTGAGCTCGCTGCCCTGCTGAAGGGGTCACATTTCCTCCACCTTTTGTCCAGTTCACTCCACAGACAGTTGCATGCACATTAGCCCCTTTCTTTTGTGTTAACTTCTGAAGGCATTGGCCAGCTTCAGCCAAATTTGGAAGACATTAAAGATCTTACTATTTAACATTTTTGTGAGCATAGGTGAGTAGGCAGGTCACCATGCTGGTCCCCACTGAGGCAGTGGTGAGTTAAGGATCAGTAAATGAGTGCAATAGTTGGATTTGAAATTTGTCTTTGGGAAGCATTTTCTCTCTTCCATTGCTGTATGAAAGAGTCCACAGAAAAGGTGAAACCAGCTAAAAAGGCTGGAAATTCCTGGAGTTACCAGCAATAAAAAAGAGCAAAGGGAACTTTGTATTACACAGAGTAGCCTTTGCAGGGATGATGGGATAATCCTTCACAGAACATCACATTGTACCATACAAAGTCTTCTAGCAAGATCCCAGCATTAAAAACCTGATATAGGGGCCTAAGATGTAATTCTGATATGTTCTGCTTCAGGCAGAAAATACCAGTTTTTTTGCAACACTGGTTGCCTTTGGGGAACATACCCAGTACTTCGCTGGAGTTTTCAGCCAAACATTATTTGTCATAACACACTAAATGGACAAAATACAGCTTGGTTTCTGACTCATATTAGCTTTCCTCTACACAGTGACATTTAAGATTCAAAAGAGTGAAAGGACTGTGCTCTTTTTTTCCAGATTTAGTGCCAAAGGAGAACTTGGAGAAGTGGTTGAATTATTTGAAGAAGGAGTTTCCAACAGTTGCTTTTAAATCGGCAACGCTGATGAAAGACAAGACTCTGGTAAGAGCACTGCAGGCTGTCTCACAACAAAGCCATATGTGTTTGTAATCATACCTGTTGAAACACACTGAGAAATGGCAACTCTTGTTCTTTAAAATTCCTTTTCCCCTTCTTTGATTTTATATATCCTTGTTTGACTGGGATATGCCTTTGCACTTTGACTAAGGTTTGTGGTACAGTGGGGAAATTCTTGCTATTGAAATACGTATCATTATTTGTGCCCAGGATGCTGGACTAGAGAAAAAGCAATTCTTTTTTTCTTACTGTAAGGAGGAAGATGAGGAATAGGATGGTTGCACCAGTTACATCTGAATTGTTTGTAGGTGAAGTGGTGCAGGCTTCTGCATTCATCCTGATTGTGGCTATCAATAAAGATAGCACCAGACATTATTTCATGAGGAGTATAAAGGGGTTAGCTCCCTGGATCCTAGTCTCAACTCTTTGCAGATGCTTATTTGAGTCATGTGTGTTAGTACATAATGTTTCACATGTCTTAGCTCTGATAACAGCACAGTGAAACAGACCCTCCCACAAAATGGTGTGGAAACTGCAACACAGATTGCAGGGTTTGAAATCCTTCAAACAACTGAAGAAGTTGAGAGTGAATTTGCAGGTTTAATATTCTACCCTCTAAAAGTATATGGTTATTTTATCGTTGCACCACAAATCTGCAGTAAAGCCTGAACTGAAATCACAGGCCCTGTAAATTGGTTCACATTCCTTTTTCTCTTAGTAGTTGATGGCTACTTTTTTTACTTTAACTTAACTGATCAGCCAGTTTCTTACTAAGCTAATTCCTTCTGTTTAGAAGAACACAGTAACATAGAATCATAGAATAGTTAGGGTTAGAAAGGACCTTAAGATCATCTAGTTCCAGCCCCCCTGCTGTGGGCAGGGACACCACACACTAAACCATGTCACCCAAGACTCCAACCTGGCCTTGAACACTGCCAGAGATGGAGCATTTGCAACATCCTTGAGCAACCTGTTCCATAGCCTCACCACCCTCACAGTAAAGAACTTCTTCCTTATATCTAACCTGAACTTACCCTGTTTAAGTTTAAACCCATTACCCGTTGTCCTGTCGCTACAATCCCTAATGAAAAGTCCCACTCCAGCATCCCTGTAGGCCTCCTTCAGATACTGGAAGGCTGCTCTGATGTCTCCACACAGCTTCTCTTCTCTAGGCCAAACAGCCCCAACTTTCTCAGCCGATCTTCATCTAACAGAGATTATTACAGAAGATAAATAAATCTAAGCAATATGTATTTATCTTCCTCAGTAGCTCTTGACCATGAGGTTTTTTTATGCCTTTGAATCCTGCAGCAGGAGCAGTCCACAAAGAGACGTGCACGTGTTGATGTATCAAGAACCAGTGAATGTCTTGGAACCAAATGCCTTTTGAAACTTCTTCAAGAGTATGGCAAGACTCAAAACAAAGCCATTCAGATTGGGGTAGTAGGTAAGCGTTTGGAGAGACAGGAAGAGTTTCCTCCTCCCATAAAGCTTTGGTATCCTGTATTATAAATTGGGTAAAGCAACTAACACATAACATGCTAATAGGCTTTCTTGTTATTCCTCTTACTTTCATCCAAGACTCACTATTGTAGCACTTCAGTTGACAGTGATTTATGTTGCACTTAAATGCATGTAGTGTCTGTGATCTGTGGAAGGCACGTTGTGTGAGGCTTTAGCTGATATACCAGCTTACGGCAACAAGAAAAGCAGGTTACACACCATGCAGCTTTTGATGCTTTCCTCCTACCTGATATGATTTGTGATGTTATACTCGGTTATCAGTGTGAGAAATGAGGATACAGACTTCGTCTTACTTCTGTAGTGAAGACTTCAGATCCAACTCTGATCTCGCACTGAAGACGTACTTTACCAAAGACACCTGAAAGAAACAATTTCAATCAGTGTTACATAGGCTTAGTTTTCTTACTTAACTTACAAGGATTTATGGCTTTTTTTCAGGTTTCCCTAATGTGGGAAAGAGCAGCATAATCAATAGTCTTAAAGGAGTTCGTGCTTGCAATGTTGGCCTAACAAGAGGTGTTACCAAGTAAGCCGAGTCTGATAAAAGCTGTTCATTTCCTTCTTTGTTGTGTTCAGATTACCTTGAGTTTGTTTGTGTACAACTTCCATCCATTTGGGACAAAGTATGCCCCTGTGTGCAAGTTCAGATGCACATTTCCAGGATGGAAGATACTGATCTGTTTGATGCAAGCTGTCAACAGAGAGCACAGTGTATAAACTTGTTCTTTTTTGTTATGTTTACATTTCTGTTCTATGCAAAGCATATGATGAAAAAGCACTGAAACTGACTCTGTATGAAGTGGATTCAGTCCAACGCTGAGCTTTGTGTCTTGCATCCCTCCCCATTACCAGTCTTTTGCTAGTTGATTATCTGTTCACAGTGCATTTCTCTCTGAATAGGTCCATGCAAATTGTGCACATTGATAAACACACAAAGATGTTGGACAGTCCAAGTATAATTGCAGATCCTTCCAACAGTGCCCTGGCTCTGGCCTTGAGAAGTATCATAGACACTGAAGAATCAGACTCAGCAGATCTGCTTGAAGGAATAGATGCCATTCTAAGTCACTGCAATAAACAGCAGGTGAGCTCTTAGCTTTTTCCACAGCTCTCACTGCATTTGATTTCTCTCTAGGTTTCTTAGACCAGTAACAACAGTTTGTTTCAGTTCTACTAGTTCTGATAGCTTTTGCACTTCTTTCCTCTAAGCAGACAGAATGGCAACACAAAGTGTGATCTTTCATCCTTATGATGGAAGGCAGAAGCAGCATGCATTATCCTGTCAGCCAGAGGCTGTTTTCCCAGTAACTTGCCTGATTAAAGTAAAAAAACAACCCTGCTTTTAAGATGTCATTACAGTATCACAGAGTGAAAAATGAAGATATTCTGACTCTTTTGTATTACTACAGTGAAGACTTCAGATCCAACTCTGATTTCACTCGAATTTCAAGTAGATTAACCTAAGCCTAATTACCATTCAGTTCTGCAATAACTGTCACAAACCAGTGTGCTCTCTCTCTACACCCACTACTATGGGTGAATGGCAGATGAATTTGTTGCTAAAGTAGGCATTTTGCTTTGGAATGTTTATTCCCATGTGCAAGAGAAAAACGGCTTTTCACATACTTGTTCATCCTCATTGTAATCCGATTTTATTTGCTCTTTGTATTTCCTGAACCTTAGGAGAAAAATGGGTACCTCTTTCTGAATGCAGTGTTTTCTTCTGCTCTAGGTAATAATGCGCTATAGTATCCCAGATTTTGAGAACACTGAAGAGTTTTTAGCTTTACTGGCTAAGAAAAGGGGTATGCTGAAAAAGGGAGGTGTTCCTGACATAGAGAATATCACTAAAGTACTTCTTTGTGACTGGACAGGGTACGTATGCTATGAACTTTGCTTTATGCTGCTCTGTGTTTTCACTTTGTTAATCCAGCACAGCAGAGGCTACATTTTACTTTGGTAAAGAGAGATGGATTGTCCAACAGATACAGAGAACACCATCCACGGATCATTTTCTATATTAGTTTAAGGATGCATGGAAGGAGTCAAATCATGTTGCACATTACTCCATAGCCAGTTTGCTGACTTCTGCTATAAACTGAGTCCATGTAGTCCTCTTCCACACGATGAGGATGTGGCAGATTTTCTGTAGGAATTCATAGTGGTTCCTGTATTCTAAGAGTGGGAATAAATGTAACTCAGAATCAATAATTGTGACTATTTCCTTTGCTCAAATGATTCAGCTGCTTTTACAGCTCATGATTTTACAGGCAGATGATTTGTGGTGACAAAGCATGCCATTTGTTTCCTTTCAGGAGTGGGCTATCCAATTAATCTGTTATTGACAACTTCAGAGCCAAAATTAAATAGCTATTTAACTGCTGTTAAATGGATAATAATAAACGAGTAGTTAGGTTGAGAAATTTGAGAGGTTTGTGCTCTGGGTTTTATTTTTAAATACAGTGATGTAGCTATGTTATCTTTGGTTGGTTTTTAATGCTGGTATTTTATTTTCCCAGAGCTAAAATAAGCTACTACTCACAACCTCCAGAATCTCAGACACTGCCACAGTATCTTACAGAAGACAAAATAGCTGAAATGCAAGAGTGCTTTAATTTAAAGAACCTAGAAGAAGAAAACAACACCACTGTTCAAGGTAGGACTGTTACTGTAATGCACTACTACCATTAAAACTGGGCAATAGTCATTTAAATGGAAGATTTTGAAGGGAAGTCTTCCTGGGGTTTATATGATAGGTTTGCCAATATGCAGTGAATATGAACCTTCTAAGAAAGAAATCAATTCTGATGCCACAGAACAGTGCATCTGTGTGCTGCCTTAACACAAGTTACCCCTGCTAGTTCTTAGTTTCTACTCAGCTGACCTAACCCTAAATGGAAAACAGGGGTAAAGACTGCTGTGGAGCACATAAACCCTGGCTAATTTGACCAACAAAATACATCTTACTCAGTACAATCTGTGCTCCACTCCAAGTCTTTCAGCTCCTAGCAGTCTTCCATAGGTGCCTCAGGGAACACTATTCTCAGAGAATTGTCCTTTGTTCTACCTGCCTATGTGGGAGTGGCATCTTGTGGAAAAGAGAGGGCAGGACTGGTTTTTAATAGCCCTGACTGTCGTGGTTTAAGCCCAGCCGGCAACTTGGAACCACGCAGCCGCTCGCTCACTCCCCCCCCTTTTTCCTTCCTCCCCCCGCTCCCGGAGGGATGGGGAGGAGAATCGAAGGAATGTAACTCCCACGAGTTGAGATAACAGCTCTCCAGTAACTAAGGTATAATACAAACCACTACTGCTACCAATAATAATGATAAGAGGAATAACAAGGGAAAAGGACACAACCGCTCACCACCCGCCGACCGATACCCAGCCTGACCCGAGCAGCGATCTGGGCCTTCCGGGTAACTCTCCCCAGTTTATATACTGGGCATGACGTGCTGTGGTATGGAATACCCCTTTGGCCAGTTTGAGTCAGGTGTCCTGTCTCTGCTTCCTCCTGGCTTCCCCTCCTCCCTGGCAAAGCATGAGAGTGAGAAAGTCCTTGGTCAGAGTAAACATTACTGAGCAACAACTAAAAACATCGGTGTTATCAGCATTGTTCCCAGACTGAAAGTCAAAAACACAGCACTGCACCAGCTACTAAGAAGGAGAAAAAATGACTGCTGCAGCTGAACTCAGGACACTGACGTACAATGGCTGTCCTCTCAGGAGCAGGGCATTACTTCTGGTACCATCTATCAGTGACTTAATAGACCCTTCATGGTTTTTTTTTGTCTTAGCTTTAAAATGTCCAAGTCCAGCAAACAGCATCATTTTCCAGTCAGCTGGTATGGCAAATGGGACAATAGTGATAGAAGAAGCATCAGAGTGGGAAATCTTGGAAACGAGCAAGGAGGAGGAAAAGGAAGAGGAAGAAGAGGAGGATTTCACAGAAAGTGATGATGATCCAGACAATTTGGAAGAAGAAATGGATGTCGAAGAGGTAAATCAGGGTTTCATTAGGCTGCTTCTACCTGTTTAGATCCTGACACCAAGTACCCAGTCAGTATCCTACTGTAAACTGAGACGGTGAAGGCACTGTGGAACCACCAGGAAAAATCCTGGAGATAAGGGTTGGGTTTTTGCTTAATTAAAGAATAAACATTATTCTAACTCAGTTCTAGGGCAGTGTGTTCCTGACCAACTACAGAAGGGGACATCCACATGATCAGCAATCTCTGTTAGGTTTTATTTGCATGGGAGACTCCATTAGTGATGTCTGAATAAACACATTTATCTGACCTCTGTCTTGCAGAAAAGCAAAGTTCAGGTCACCAGGAAAACAAAGCTTGGAAAACAAACAAGTCCTACAAATTCAGAAAAGCAAATAGCAGGTCTGTATTAAAAACCCTGGCTTGAGGTATAGCCTCTTGTACTCTAGAACTTGCATTGATTTCGCTAACACGTGATTTTCATTTCTCAGAAAGCGAACATTCCAGTTCACTGTTGCTCAACTTGGATAAGACAGCAGGTGAAGATGATGCCTACGATTTTAATACAGACTATGTGTAATGAATTATGTATGAAGACATTGTTTGGAGACTCATTACTGGCTTTCAGAACAGTCATGAAGAATTCTGTGGTGGCAGAAGTCAGAGGAATGCGGCATAGTAGAGCTGCTGCAAAGATTCACAACTATTGCTGTGACAAATAATGTATATAATAGTGTATCTCCCTTGATGATTCCAGATTTTACAGAAGGCGAGGAAACTGACTGTATGCACCTTCATTTCCTGTATTAAAGCCTATTTTAAAAATTCCTATTAGACTGAGTTAGTCTGTTCATTTTGCCTTATAAAAAGACATTTCAAAAAGAGAAACCCTTTGTCTTTTTCTTTGAAAAACAATGTTAAACATTTAATTCTAGTCATGTTGAAGGAATTAAATTTCAGTATAAGTTTTCATCCTCCCTTCATAAGATTTGTTTTTCCAAAAGGACTACAGAGACTGTACTCCTAGAACATGACATGTCACTTTTCAGTATGCTTTTGCAAAGCTTGTAGGACTTTCGTATGTAGAGGTCTGCTAGAAAATGCTACTTATTTCAGCTAGACAAAGGTGTTTTATCTAAGCACTGCTTTATATACTGAGAACCTTCATTGGGAAAGGTAACAGATTAGTAATTGGCAATTACTAGTGTAGTATAGATTAGCATATTAGTATAGTATAGTACATATTGGTATATTAGTAATCTGTCTTTACTGGGGAACAAGTTCTTGCAGTGCTCTTTAACAAAGACATATTTCCTGATCATCTCTTAGACATGGCAACAACTGATAACTAAAGCAAAACATTGCCCTGTAGCAGTAACAATCTATAGCAAGAGAACTACCAAGAGGCCCTGCAGAGTCGCTCAGTGAATTAAGTATTTAGAATAAACGCCTGACACCAAGCACCTTCCTCCTATGCATCTCTTTTCCTCCTACTAAAGGACTGGTTTCTGTGTTCTTCAATAGATAGTTATATTTTCTCTAAATGTATGTTGAGGCACAGTCCTACTGGGCAGCTTAAAAAAGCACCAAGTGCAAACACAGACACATGCAGTTTATTTAAGCCTGCTAAAACAGCCTGGCCATCAGCATTATATTGATGTCAGCTTATCTAGTATAATCTTTCAAAGTTTATTAACTGATCTTTTTAAACCACTACAAGACAAGAATGGTTCTTCATCAAAACCCAGGAAAAGAAATGATCGGTTACAAACCACAGACAGAACTATAGGCAGTGACTGCAATGAGTCAAGCAGTTGGAAATGCTTTTAAATTATAGAGCAGTATTAAAACCATATTCATACACCTGAATGAGCCCTTTATGTCTCTGCTACCCTTTGTCCTAGACCATGCAATACTCAGCCCATCACTGCTTTAACACAAAGACTGGTCTAAACATCTTATACTGAGGACTCTTCACAAGAAGTATTAACTGAATACAGGTAACAAGTTCAAACCCATGTTAAATGGAACAGTTGGCACAATAGCTGCCAGGATATATCAGCTAATAATAACAACCACTAATCAAACTTTATAACCATTAAAAAACCAACTTACCTGTGGAAAAGGTGGCAGGCAGCTGACTGCAAAAGGGCACAGGAATCCTGCTTGATGAGTTTAAAGGGTCAGACTGGGAAAGGCATGGTGAGAAAAACTTCTATAGCAGAGTCATACAATGCATAACCATGTTTCATACAGCCTGATCCCCACAATAAATGCTTGGCACAATTTAGAATGAGATTGCTTTTGCAAAGATGAGATAATTTTAGTCTCAAACACTTCTACTGCATTTAAGTACAAAGGAAACGTGCTTCATGGATCAAAACTAGAATCAGATTGCCATTACCTGAGGTTTGAGTCCACATGTTAAAATTAGCTTTTATTTTTGAACAAAGTTTTCTCCACCACTTTACAAAAACTGGTTTAGTGTTCACTGACAGTTAAACCCACTTTGCATAGTGAAATAATACTTGAAAAATTAGTATTTCAAAAAATAAATCTGATTCTGCAGAATTCTGCAAGAAAGACACAGAAATGGTTGGAAGAAGATTTCATGCAAGAAAGGGTTGTTGAGGAAACTATTTCACAGGATAAGAAAACAAAAAACCCAGAACAAAACCCAAGCAGCTCTTAATTACAGTACATTGCTGTGCAAGATTTGCATGGTGCAAGCACCAACTGAAGACATATCTTGTTCTTAGAAATGTTTCTTTCTGTAGCTTCTCCTCTAGAAGACTTGTAGTAAAGAGCAGCAGAATGCACAGCAGACAGAAATGAACTAATAAAAGTGCTAGTTCATGGAGATTTTCCCTTGCTTTCTATAGCGCTGATGGTGTAGCATCTTCTGTCACACAAGTGAGTCTCCTTTGGACCTGTGCATTTCAGAACTGCACCTGAATTAGTGTCTCACCTCGTGCTCAGAAGGCAAAAGGACTGCTCTGAAATACAAGTTGGCTGAACAAAAAAAAAAAAAGTTCTGCTTCGCTCCAGAAGTTTCCTGAGAAAATGCCATCAGTTATTAAAATTGACTCTACTTTGCTTCATAGGCTTCTGAATGTCTGCGGATTAGGCTGAACTTGCCTGTAGGGTCAGGGACATACCACTTCTCCCAGACTTCAGCATATGAAGCTGTTCTTCCCCATGGCTTGAAATGTCCATTCCAATGGAGCAACTTGGCAGCTTTCACAAACTGAGGAGAGTACCTTTTTCCAGCACTAGACCCTTTTATCGAAAAAGAAGCATTAGTGCCTAAAATAAAGGCAGCAGAAACACCAACATGCAGTATTTCAACATCAAAACAAAGAATTTTAACAAAGGAAATCTTGTCATTTATGGAGAAAGGGGGTGATGTGCGAGGCATAAATCAGATCAAAGTGAAAAACAATCAGGTGCAACTGAATGCCACTTTGACCTGTCTCAGTATCTATTTTAATACACTGCCTTGACCACAAAGTTCTTTAAAACCCCCTTAATACCCAGATGTATTTGGCAGCCTGTGTATTGTTCACTGGAAACAAAACCTAAGAAAGCTTCCCCAGCACTGGGCTTTGACCAGTAGCAGCATGGATAGAAATATCTGTTCCTCTCAACAGTCTTGGAAGACCACCTAGGATCACTTCAGATACAATATGTATGTGACAAAATAAAAGGAAAATGAGAAGCAATTTGAAAGTAAGTCAATTCAAGAACTATCCCCCTAGCAGTTCAAAAAAAGAACATGAGGGAGCAGGCCAACAAGCACCAAAATGCTACTGCAAAACAGTGTTTCTTAAAGAACAAGGTGTAAAATAAAGAGGGGCAAAGAGCCATTTGCTGCATCATAAACTAGGTGTCCAGCTACAGACCTGGAAAAACACACCAGGGGAGCAGTATCAAAAGAGTTTCATACATACCGAGATGCCGGACATTCCACATGGGGTCAATACTAGAATGTTGCTTGTAAAATACAATTAGCAATGGAGGTGTTGTGATGCTGCCAGCCAGAGTCCTACTGTAAAGCTGCTCTCTAGAAAAGAAGAGGAGAAGTTGGGAAAGGTTGCTTGCGTGGCCCCGAATCAGTTGATTTTTCCCTTGCAGCTGTGTGGCAGGTATCCACAGCTACATACAGGTACATATGAGTCACCATATCACAATCCCTGATGTGCTGTAGCCCCCAGGTTGAGGGTACTTACACTACGTTCAGTGCCATCCACTTCTCCAGTTGCTTTGTGATGTTCTGTAATTTCCATTCTGTCAAATTGGCAACAATAACTCCTGGATTGAAAGAGCAGGTGTTGGCTTTCATAGCAAGCTTTCGGATGGTTTCTTTTTTGTAATCTAGAAACCCAATGTAATTATACTGGGGGGAGGGAAAAGAGAGCAGAAATTATCTTAGAATATGGTCAAATTACTATTTAAAGAAAAATTTTGCACAGCTCCCGACAGATAAGTGTAAGTTGATGTAGTTAAAGCAAATAGTCCTTTCTTTAAAATGAAAGAAAGCTTATGAGATCTAACTTTAAAAAAATATGATTTTATAAGCTATATATTTTAAGGAATGCTGCATGGTCTTAATAATACCATATTATTAATATGGTACCACTCCCAGGAAAAGTTCTTTTATACACTCACAAATGAAAAATTCTCCCTCTTATGTTCTAAGATCTGCTGTTCCACACTGGGAATTGTCTTCATTGTAAAGCATAGCAAAAATGTGAAGTGCTTTTACTGTGCCTAAACAGAAAGCACAGGTGTCATTTGTAATCAGAGTAAATTGATTTGTGTAGGAATCTCTTAGTTCACTGCATTTGGAAGTCACCCTGCAAGAACATTAAAACCAAGTGCCTGTTTCCAAAGCCTAGCCTTTATAGTATTGCTATCACTGAATCAGAATAAAACAAACCTGATTGCCTGCCCCACGGACAGCAACTTTATTAGTGATTGAGTCACAATCATCTGAAAATGCAGCTGCATGTCCAAGTTTCAATGGAGTGTTGTAAAGTTCAAGAATATC